AACGTCATGACGTTCAGAGTTTCAAGCCAATCCCCCTCCATGTCCACCCTGCTCTCCCCACCTGTGAAATTTCAGTTACATCTAGCTCCTGTAATTATCTGACCAATCAAACATGTAAACAACTATATTACCCCTTGCTGCTCTATCGGCGCTAATTATGGGAGTAAATTAATGAGCTAAAAGTAAAAACGATGTTGATTTCACACCAAAAATTCAACGAAAGGGAACTATATGAACCGTAACTTATGGGGGGTTCGAATCGGTTCAGAACTTAATACAGGTTCTGCTCGGAACAGAACTATTGGAAAAATAATTTCGGTTCCAACACCTGGTTCCTGCAAAGATGCTGGGAAATGCTAAATGTGCAGAAGCTACGATGGCGAGGAACATCCTCACGCAGTACAAACCATGGATTTAATATATTTTTGTTTTCGCTGGTTTTTGTAGAACTACTTGTAATTGGAAACGGACATTAAGATACTTTTTTCACGGAATCGAGAACGAAGAAAATATCGCCATGTACAGGTAAATTATTAAATCTATGGCGGCGGTTTGTATGGGGCTTTCCTGTAACGCCCAGTATGGACACCAACAATCTTTGGTAATATCACATTATCTGGCGTACAATCTGTAGCTAACAAATCAGGAGTGGATGCTACATCCCTGGTTCTGGAGTCATAGGTTGTTCAAGTCAAAACTAATATAACCTGAATCAACACAGCCTTGCCCTCAAGTGCTTTTTCCCCCTTTAATTCTTCACTTCAGGTAGCTAAACTAGCCAGTGACATTTTGACAATGCATACATTTCTGATTAGCTAGTTAAAGTACAGACGCTTAAGACATAATTGATTGTTTTAGACTAGTTATCATCCATATCTGGGGAAATCCCACAAAGTCAGACAACATTAAATTGACAGACGAAACGCATTCCAACAGCTGATGAGGGACCAAACGTACCAAACAGTCATGCTGGCTAGCTCGAGCTAGCTAAAGACAGTGTGTGCGCACAGTGTGACCCATTCCCAAATTAGCTAACGATAGCCACTTAGCTAGGGTAAATAGCTGGCTAACATTTTAGCAACACACCGTGTCAAAGAATGGTCGGGCTTCTTTGCAATATGGCTAGTTAGCTAAATATATGGAAGAACGAATGTTACCGTGGCGTTTGCTGTCAAAGTTGCTCAGTTGTCAATGGTGCTAACTAACTAGCTAGCTAGCTGTCAAATTCGAGAGTTATAGCTATCTACGTAGTGTGATCAAGCATGCTAGTTATCATGTTAGCAAACTGGCAACGAGCTACCTGGATCGTTACTAATGATGTCCCCATATGCCCCGTCCCAGCTAAAATAAAACTATCAAGGCCTGATTGCTGAACTCAATCCCCAGAACTTCAGTACAGCTTACTTCCCCGTGAAAGTCGTCCATTTCATGGGCCTCAGTTCAACTACCATTCCCATGTTCTTACAGCTCACTTACCCCTGGGTATGTCAGGTCGTTGCCTTGGTCCAGGGCAGTGTTGAAATATCTGCCCCTCCCCTTTCACGTCTTCTTCAACAAGAAAGTCCCTCAGGTGCCTATGCTCAGGTGCGTTTGTCCTAGGTAAGACCCGTTGAACTCTCGCCAGTGTCGTCCCTCTTCGGCTTCTCTGCCTTTTCTCGTTCGCCTTTCTCTCGAGTCCAGTCTCGACAGCCAACATCCGGGACTCTGTCGTTTTCTACACAGGCTACAAAAAATACCCGGAACTACTTTCAATACAATTCAGAGAACGACGCAAATTACATACTGCACTGGCTACATTACTGCACTCGGCGATGTACACAGCCACAAAAACTAGTCCCCTACTTCACTGCCCTCTCTTTCTCTCTCTGCCTGCTCGAACTACTTTCATAAAATAATAATAATAATTGTAATAATAATAACAACAACACATTTTTACTCAATCATAAAATTACAACAAAATAAAACATGATTTAAAAAATAGTTGTTTCTATGTGTTCTTAGCTATTAATAATCTTACTACAGTACTACTAGAGGTTGTATTTAATTGCAATAAATTATTCATTTAGCTATTTTCTTGACTTTAGATCTATTACACTGTTGTTAGAAGCATCCTGTCAGCCTATTGGAGCATTATCTTAATAATGAGAACGACACAAATTACAAACTGCACTTGGAGATGTACACAGCCACAAAAACTAGTCCCCTACTTCACTGTCCTCTCTCTCTCTCTCTCTGCTGCAACTACTTTAATAAAACAACAATCATAATAACTGTAGTAAGAATAACAATAAGAATAACGACACATATTTACTCAATCATTATAATAACTACAAAATAAAAAATATGATACAAAAACAAGTTGTTTCTATGTGTTCTTACGCCTCGATCACACCAACACTATCTTCGCATTTTGGTACACCAGAAGTACATTCATTTCCAATGGACCACTGCATTTGCCTTACAGCATTGCGTTGCAGAGTCAGATGCAGTGCGCTCTGTGTGGTGCATACATTGGATTTATCGAACGTATACATCGAATTGTATGCATAGATGGCTTGACGGAAATGGTAGCATGTGAAAGTTGAAATTTTGTTGCACACATATCCAGATGATGTTGTGTACCATTTTGCGTAATGACACTGTAGGTGTGATTGAGGTGTTAGCTCTTAATAATCTTACTACAGGAGTTACTACAGTACTACAAGAGGTAATATTTAATTGCAATAAATTAATAATTTTGCTATTTTCTTCACTTTAGATCTATTGCACTGTTGTTAGAAGCATCCTGTCAGCTACATGGATCATTATCTTAATAATGTTCATCTTCATGAGACATGTATTGACATTTTGGTCAATTCATCATACCTTGCTGGACTCTAAAACGTCTGATCACTACTAGTCTAGTACAGTATCGTTTCAGCTTCCTCATACAGTTTTTGGTGAGGCAACAGCACCTCCAGTGGATTAACATTGAAAATGCTTCACTTGAGCTTCAAACAGGTTGCAAATCATATTTCTTCCTGCCTAAATACACTACATGACCATAAGTATGTGGACACCTGCTCGCCGAACATCTCATTCCAAAATCATGGGCATTAATATGGAGATGGTCCCCCTTTGCTGCTATAACAGCCTTCACTCTTCTGGGAAGGCTTTCCACTAGATGTTGAAACATTGCTGCAGGGACTTGCTTGCATTCAGCCAGAAGAGCATTAGTGAGGTCGGGCACTGATGTTGGGCGATTAGGCCTGGCTTGCAGTTGGCGTTCCAATTCATCCCACAGGTGTTCGATGGGGTTGAGGTCAGGGCTCTGTGTAGGCCAGTCAAGTTCTTCCACACCGATCTCGACAAACCATTTCTGTATGGACCTCACTTTGTGCACGGGGGCATTGTCATGCTGAAACAGGAAAGGGCCTTCCCCAAACTGTTGCCACAAAGTTGGAAGCACAGAATCATCTAGAATGTAATTGTGTGCTGTAGCATTAAGATTTCCCTGCACTGGAACTAAGGGGCCTAGCCCGAACCATGAAAAACAACCCCAGACCATTATTCCTCCTCCACCAAACTTTACAGTTGTCACCATGCATTCGGGCAGGTAGCGTTCTCCTGGCATCCGCCAAACCCAGATTCGTCATACTCCCCCCAAAAATGCTAACCTTCCCTGTTATTGTGATGGTGAGAGGTTACCATGGGGGTATGATAATTGTGCGTCTGTAGCTTTCTCACTCATCATTATTCACGATTCATTCAGGACATATTCATGTAGAAGTGTTTAGAAACATATTCTATTCTTATTTACAATAAAAGTGACTCAAAAATGACACAATACATTATTTACCATTAATTTCTATTGGGCACAAAATAATCTGAAACACATCCAAACAAATAGCAAATGCATCCAACAAGTTTGTAGAGTCACAAGCTTGATGTATTCATTGCGTGCTAGGAATATGGGACCAATTACTTTTGGATAATTTAATACACATTTAAGTGAATTTGTCCCAATACCTTTGGTCCCCTAAAATGGGGGGACTATGTCCAAAAAGTGCTGTAATTTCTAAACGGTTCACCCGATATGGATGAAAATAGCCTAAAATTAAAGCTGACAGTCTGCGTTTTAACCTCTTAGTCATTGTATCATTTCAAATCCAAAGTGCTGGAGTACAGAACCAAAACAACAAAACATTTGTCACTGTCCCAATACTTCCGGAGCTCACTGTGAAAGCGGATTACAGGCTCTTTTTATTCTTCGATGGGGTTTAACGGCGGTTGGCATCCAATATTAATGGTGCATTACCGCCACCAGCTGGACGGGGTATTGAATGAGAAAATAAAAATCCATTGCGTGAAAGGGGGAAAAACAACATCATACAAAATACAGAAATAGGCACGTCAACAAACAAAACCCATCCCACTTATTCAATCACAATCCATTCCTCTCTGTGCTATTATCTTCACCTGACTCACTAGCAGTTTCAAACAAAACCTCAGTTTCCACCATCTTCTCCTATACGCTCCTTCCAGGACTACAGCCTCTGCCAAGAGATGTGGACTTGTAGGTAGTGCACTTGTTCTGTCGCTGGTTTTAGCCCAGCTGTTCCCCCTCAATCACTGCATTGCTGGTAGCAGTGTGGTGATCCTGCAGTCTCAGGCTTTTGTTTGAAGTTTGCCTTATTAGTATAGCCTTTCTACGGAGGCTTACTACAGCCTCTGCCAGGTCTGGACCTTTATGGCACAGGAGGTTGTTTGCCTGTGACTAAAGGTGTCTAGATAAAGGCCACTCAATCACTACGTGGGTTATTATTATATCTGACAAAATTGTTTAAGTGTGATAAATAACTGAAACACAATGTATAGGCTAGCCCCTACATTCCTTTTGTTGTTGGAATACTTTGTAATGCAAAGTCACCTGACAATTCAGCTTCCACGACATTAGGTGGCGACATAATTTTGAGTTCTTTACATTCCAATGAATGAAGCTAATCGAAGAAGACGTCACGTCAGACAGCATCCGGAAGTCGCACGATACTTCTCAATCATCAGCTACTTCTTACTCTCGGTGCCTTTAAAAGTAAGGAATGTTTCTATTCATGAATAAGATTCATATAAATATTAAGATAATTCACTGACAACTGCAACATTAACCGAATGATCTTAGGCCCGTGCCAATGAACATCCTAGTAATAGCAGCGAGTGTGAACCGCATTTTCACTGAACCTGTCATTTTCTAAGGCATATCCGCTGTAAAGTGCAGTTAAAGTTGTAGCTAGTAGACAAAGGTGAGTCTAACATACTTATCCTATAGGCAAACCAGATACACGTTCAAATAATCAACCAGTGACTACTATTCGTCCCCTCAAAAGTTTGTCAAGGTCACAAGTATCCTATTCCTACCACACACTTTAATTATTTAACTCTAGAGATTCATGGCATGGCTCCTCTCATTGACATTTAAAGATGCTCCGCCATTTCCTGGTTGTTAAAATTCTAATAGTTCGCCTAATTTCAGTGTGTGACATAACAAACAAGTATAGGGTAGATAATCAATGTTCTATCTAAACCGCTGTGAAATATCTTGTCCATAACCCAAAATAGTGTATTTTCAGCTGTTTGAAGCTGGTGTGCAAATGATGCAAAAACGAAACTTAAGAATGAGAAGCATAGAAATAACACACAAAACAGTTCTACCACTTCTTAGACTTGCTTTCAATGAGAATGACAGATCTATAAGTCACATTTCTATGTGAATTTAGTTTGGTCACCCAAAAAGTTACATTTTGCAGCTTTAAACCAAATGACACACTTGGCAATGCATGTTAGGTTTCACATTCCTTTTCAATGTCATTTTTGTCTTGTAAGTTGATGTTCCCCCCCTCTCCCCGGCCAACCAAGCATGGCAGACCCCGGGACCCTCACTGCAGAAGGGAAGCTGTCTGAAGAGTTTGCTGTTCCCTCCCATGTAGAGGAGGTCAAAGGGCAGATGGCAGCTTTTGCTGTGCAGCACAGGGCTGCAGGGCACAGGGTGGTGCTTATCACCTCAGGAGGCACCAAAGTCCCCCTGGAGTCTCGCACTGTGCGCTTCCTGGATAACTTCAGCAGTGGCCGGCGCGGAGCCTCCTCGGCAGAGTACTTCCTAGAGTCAGGCTATGCTGTGATCTTCCTGCACAGACACCGTTCCTTATATCCTTTCACACGCCTCTACTCTGGGATTAATCTGCTGGACAGCCTGCAGCTGGAGAGTGGAAAGGTCGGTTCGGTCTCTGACCAAGTCGTGGTCAACCAGCAGGCACTTCCCAACATTGCCAAAGTCTTGATGCGTTACCAGGCGGTGAAAGAGGCAGGGCTTCTTCTGCCTGTGGAGTTCAGCACCCTGTCTGAGTACCTGCACCTCCTCAAAGCAGCAGCACAGGCACTCAGCCCCATAGGTAGGTACTGACGCTCAACTAGAAGTAGCAGGGCTTATTAAGATGTACAGTACCTGCATGTGCTGGGATAACTAACATGCGCTCTGTGTTCATTCCCCTCAGGGTCCAATGCCATGTTTTATTTGGCTGCAGCAGTGTCGGATTTCTATATCCCAGCATCTGACATGCCAGAGCACAAGATCCAGTCTTCCAATGGACCACTTCAGGTGAGTAAAGAAAGCCATCAAATACAAAAGCACATGATCTTTATTAGAGATCCACTGTTAAGTCAAGCCTCTTTTCTGTCCTATAGATCAGTATGAAGATGGTCCCCAAGATGTTGTCGCCACTGGTGAAGGACTGGGCTCCACAGGCATTTGTGATTTCCTTCAAGCTGGAGACAGACCCGTCCATCCTGCTGGACAGAGCGCGGCGGGCCCTGGACACCTACCGGCACCAGGCTGTGGTAGCCAATGTACTGGACACCAGACGAGGTTACGTAGTGGTGGTGACCCCTGACACTCAGGCCGAGCTGGTACTCACAGATGAGGAAGCAAGCAGAGATGTAGAGATTGAGGACAGGATTGTCAGTAATCTGACTGCAGCTCACAGCCAATTCATAACCCAACAAGGCTGAGACCCCAGTTAACCATGCTAAGGCTGTCTCCGACTAAATATAATCTTTGTTGACCCAAAGTTGTCTGTTCTTTCGACCAGTCAATTGTGTATTTTTCCATAAATACAGTACCAGTCAAAAGTTTGGACACACCTACTCATTCAAGGGTTTTTCTTTATTTGTAAACATTTTTACATTGTAGAATAATAGTGAAGACATCAAAACTATGAAATAACACATATGGAATCATGTAGTAACCAAAAAAGTGTTAAATAAATCGAAATATATTTAATATTTGAGATTCTTCAAATAGCCACCCTTTGCCTTGATGACAGCTTTGCACAGTCTTGGCATTCTCTCAACCGGCTTAATGAGATAGTCACCTGGAATGCATTTCAATTAACAGGTGTGCCTTCTTAAAAGTTAATTTGTGGAATTTCTTTCCTTCTTAATGCGTTTGAGCCAATCAGTTGTGTTGTGACAAGGTAGGGGGGGGGGTATACAGAAGATAGCCCTATTTGGAAAAGACCAAGTCCATATTATGGCAAGAACTGCTCAAATAAGCAAAGAGAAACAACATTACTTTAAGACATGAAGGTCTCTTCAAATACAGTCACAAAAACCATCAAGCGCTATGATGAAACTGGCTCTCATGAGGACCGCCACAGGAATGGAAGACCCAGAGTTAACTCTGCTGCAGAGGATAAGTTCATTAGAGTTCCCAGCCTCAGAAATTGCAGCCCAAATAAATGCTTCACAGAGTTCAAGTAACAGACACATCTCAACATCAACTATTCAGAGGAGACTGTGTGAATTAGGCATTCATGGTAGAATTGCTGCAAAGAAACCACTACTAAAGGACACCAATAATAAGAAGACTTGCTTGGCCCAAGAAACACGAGCAATGACTGGTGGAAATGTATCCTTTGGTCTGGAGTCCAAATTTGAGATTTTTGGTTGCAACTGTCGTGTCTTTGTGAGACGCGGTGTGGGTGAACGGATGATCTCCGCATGTGTTTTTCCCACCGTAAAGCATGGAGGAGGAGGTGTTATGGTGTGGGGGTGCTTTATTGGTGACACGGTCTGTGATTTATTTAGAATTCAAGGCACACTTAACCAGCATGGCTACCACAGCATTCTGCAGTGATACGCCATCCCATCTGGTTTGGGCTTAGTAGGACTATCATTTGTTTTCAACAGGACAATTACCCAACACACCTCCAGGCTGTGTAAGGGCTATTTGACCAAGAAGGAGAGTGATGGAGTGCTGCATCAGATGACCTGGCTTCCACAATCCCCCGACCTCAACCCAATTGAGATGGTTTGGGATGAGTCGGACCGCAGAGTGAAGGAAAAGCAGTCAACAAGTGCTCAGCATATGTGGGAACTCCTTCAAGACGGTTGTAAAAGCATTCCAGGTGAAGCTGGTTGAGATAATGCCAAGAGTGTGCAAAGCTGTCATCAAGGCAAAGGGTGGCTATTTGAAGAATCTCAAATATAAAATAGATTTTGATTTGTTTAACACTTTTTTGGTTACTACATGATTCCATATGTTATATTTCATAGTTTGTCTTCACTATTATTCTACAATGTAGAAAATAGTAAAAATTAAAATAAAGAAAAACCCTGGAATGAGTAGGTGTGTCCAAACTTTTGACTAGTACTGTTGACACACCCTATGTGTTTTAATAAAATCAACTATATGCATTGAGCTTGTCTGATGCTTTAAGCTCACGGTTTGATTAAATAAGACATGCCTCAAGAGGGCGCCAGAGATCTAGATAACCAGAAAAACCTGACTCAACTATTCTCCTCCCGGCTTTCGCATATTCTGCCATTACTCTCCTGAAGTTGCCACTAACATGCCAATTTATCTTACCATTTCTACCGATCTGCGTGCCAGTTATGGTTTTCATATGCACATTTTTGTTAAAGTTTCATTTAATTTAAAATAACGTCTTCATATCTCAAAATCATATTCATGTGGTTAATCAAAATTCTATCCAAATCTAAATGATCAACCTAAAAAGTAAAAATAGCCTACATAAAGCCAACAAATGAAAACATTGCAGCCTGCAGGTAGAAAATAACCTGATAAAAATAAATATCCTATAAATCACATTGGCTACACATGCCTGTCTGCAACGAAGTTGAAACATTGTATCAACTATTACCTTGGGTCCAGCCAGAAGCTTGCACTAGCAAAGTTGCAAAATAGTGTAAAATATTCTGGGCCTACAGCCACAGCTGTAGGCTATTTGCGCAAGGGATAAGAAGCAGTGCTTGAATTGGGCAGGAGCTCACCGGAGCAGAGTACAGGCAACTCAAATGTTCTACTGCTTGAGCTCCTGGCCCTGTTTATAGAATATTAGCTCAAAAGTATTGTGGCGCTCCTGCACCAAAATATAAACAGTACCAGCACCCAAAATGAGTACCGGAACCTATTTCAGTCCAAGTCAAGCACTGATAAGAAGTAATCAGGGCCTATTTTGTGACGTTTCCACTGGATCAGAGCATTACATTTTTTCCTTTCACGCTGAGTAGTTAACGAAAGGGAGAGAGCTGGAAAGATTTTTTTGTAATTCTCAATGGATGTAAAAACAGACTTAGTTTGCTTGCTGTTTGAGGTGAAGAAAACATCACTTTGAGAAGCTCCACAGGTCATTAGTGGTGGTGCGTTAAGCCAATCAGAATACAATAAGATACCCAAATGGCCACATTTATATGCCTACATTTGCGCGCAGGCCAGGTAGCCTATAGGCCTACTTCTATGCGTGCGCTCCAAACAAAAGACAATGACTAAATTGACAAAACTCGTAAATAAACCAACACTTGTTTCTCACAAGTGTAGCATAGGTTGTGCACTCTGAAAACAATGTGCCCACTCGGACAAGGATAACGGGAAGACTGGAATAATAATATTGAATGCAGTAAAATAATTACTGTAACAAACATTGTAGATTAGAAATTATAGGAATTAACGGTAAATGTAGCCTACTACTGGTGATGTATGCAATGGGAAATTGATATACACTAAAACGCAAACAATTAAGTTATGAATCACATTGTCGGGAGAGAGCTCATTCTGGAGGGAGAAGTGCATTATGCATCTGGGTAAATCCCACGTCTGCATTGGCCATGCAGCATTTACAGTGATATGGCCTCAGCAGAAGTCAGGGCACTCATACTTCTTGTGCGTCATAGAGCTGTTGTCAAGGAAGTGAGTTTGTGTTTATATAGGATGTACCGCCCCCACCTACCGTCAACCACTCATGTCAACGCGGAGCTATACTGAGCTCACAGCATTGTTACAAAATTAGGGAGGCGTATGGTGATGCGGTCCTGGGAGGCTCAGCAATTGCGTCACACCATCCATAATGGAGCCTCCGACCACATTTTTCAGATCAAGCATAAATTGGCTTTTAGTTTAGGCCTCAGCAATGGATTAGTTCACGGCAACCATCTCCATGAACTAATCCATTGCTGAGGCCTAAACTAAAAGCCAAATTATGCTTGATATATATAGGTTACTGCTTGACTAAAACATTCTGTCGACCAAACAATCGACCAGTTGACTATTTAGGGTCAGCCCTAAACAATGCTGCTTACTAGGAGACCTGGCAACTTGGAGAAACACTAATGGACAGTACACGTCCCTGGGCTTGGGACAATCTCTGTGGACTAAACTCTGCTTAAATCTGGCTTTAGTTCATGCTTGTCGAGTTTGGATCTTTATTTTATCTGGCTTGGCTTTCACCACCTAGATCAGACATTAATGTGCATGGGTAAGTAGGTTTCGGTACTCACTGTCTGCTGTAAAAAAATAAAATAAAAATACATTACATAAAAACAGCAAAACGATCCTTGACCATCTTATGTCTGGAAGCAGATTACAACATGTGGGTTGTGGAATGATAAGGCCAAACAATAAAGTTTTACTTGATTAAGAACAACTTTATAGCAGTTTCATTACAACAAAGCAGATTGTCAGAGTAATGTCACAGACAATAGTACATCAGTAAAGTGACAGACTTGGGACATTAAACCTCAACTGTGTGTTGGTATTACATTGTGTTGGTATTACATTGTGTTGGTATTACATTGTGTTGGTATTACATTGTGTTGGTATTACATTGTGTTGGTATTACATTGTGTTGGTATTACATTGTGTTGGTATTACATTGTGTTGGTATTACATTGTGTTGGACAAATCAGTCCACAGGGAACTGTTGACAATCTTCCTTAAAGGAAACAGATGGGCTGGTTACTTGAGTTTGACACTCTTTTTAACTCCAGCACGAATACCAGACAGCTCTCCACTGTATCTTGTCTCCTCACGACGGACTTCACGAACCTGGAATACATTAAATACTTTTATGTAGATTTGTTTGAAGAACTATGAATTCCAACAGTCTTTTTTTAAATTTGGCCCATAATTGACACAAGTTGTCAATTTTGCTATGAAATACTGTATATAATATCAGTATACAGCAGCGGTTCTGAAAGATCTGCCTGAAGGTGTCAGTAATTCCTGCGAAGCACTTATAAATCAATCATACATAGCATTTGTATACATTTTATACACTGCAACTTCAAGTTTAAATGTAGTCTACAAACCTGTCCCTTTCTGCGGATCTTGGCTCGTCTGAACTTCTCTCTGTGTTTGACTCTGGGATTGCGGTCAATCTTCTTCCTCTTTGGTGTAAGCCCTTTGTTCTTGGCCATCTTCAGAAAGGATAGAGCAGCATGTACTAATTAGACTAATGGTTTAAACTAGGAAGGGAATATAATACTCTTACATACAAAGCACAAGATTGATATGAAGGTCATGATATATTGGGAGAATAAATGTCTCATACTGTGCTTTATACAATGAAAATGTGAACAAGAGACATGAAAACAAGTTAATATTGTACATGAAGGCTAAGATGAACAATAAATCATTGCTGCTGTATACTTGAATGTGTGTAATTCATTTCTAATTCTCAGAGGGTGTTACACTGTACCTGGTAGCTAATGCGTCTCTTTGCATCTGGATCCACCTCCTCTTCATCTCCTGCCTCCTCCAATCTGCAACGAGGAAATAGATCTACCATCAAGCCCTGCCTATCTCATTCCTACTCTGTGAACTTGAAGAGAGTACCACAGTATGAGTCATAATACCCATAAAACCTAGCGGTCAAACAAGGAAATGGTTAGAATAGTCTTTCCACCATAAATGTTTCCCATAGGGGATTTTAGAAACAGCCTTACAAAAAAAGATTGCAGTAACTGCAGTCGACTGTGGTATTTTGGACACAGTAATTGCAGAGTACTGCAGTTATACTGCACTGTAACTGCAGTTACACTACAAAACTACTGTAGTAAAAAAAACTTATTTTGGATGCAGTATTTGCAGCAAACTGCAGTTATACTGGACTCAGACAGCAATCTTTTTTTGTAAGGGCACTTAATAAAATAAGGGCTGTATTTCATGAAGGCTTAACCTGGCGTGACGTTTTGATAAGCGTGTAAATCTCTTGGAAAAGGTGACTTATTTTGAAAAATATATATATTTAACCTTTATTTAACCAGGTAAGCCAGTTGAGAACAAGTTCTCATTTACAACTGCGACCTGGCCAAGATAAAGAAGACTTATCAATATATTCGCCTGTATTTACCCCCAACCAATGAAACGCTAATTAGCTGCTAATGTGGCTATCAAAAAGAACTACAAATGCCATGATGATCTGGACGAGACTGCCGAATCGAGGCAACCTTAAGAATCTCTGGGTTAACTATCTGTTAGCTAAATGTAGTAATGAATGAATTGGCAACATTTCTTTATATTGATAATTCTGTGAACGGTATTGGGCAATTTTTTAATTGACACAATACCTGTTAGCAAAGGTGTCAGCTAGAGATTACACGTGTAGGCGCTTGCAGAAATTTGTAGTCTTGCATGATGTCTAATTTGATACCAATTGGCATTTTCGAATCTGAGAGTAAATAGAGCTGAATATATTGATAAAAGTCACCTTGTCCGAGAGATATTTACATGGTTATCAAAACGTCACCGCAGGGTAAGCCTACACGAAACACAGCCCTTATTTGGAGTGTTTCAAAAATCCCCTATGGGAAAAATGAATGGTGGAAAAACGATTGGAACCATTTCCCTGTTTGACCGCTAGGTTTTATGGGTATTATGACACCTTCACTGTGGGGCTCTATAATGTACCTGGGTAACACTCACCCTTCCTGATCCTGTGGGTCCTTGCTCTTCCTCTTCAGTTTCAGCCTCTCCTCCACTCCTCTGTAGAAGCGCAGGGCAGCCTCCTCATCCAAGTCAGAGTATGAGTCTTCAGATGATTCCGCCCCAGCCTCTTCAGACACCTGACAACATAGGGACCAGTCCAGTTTAAAGGTAGACTCAGCGAAATGACGTTGCCACAAGCATCATCGCAGATTTGTGTTTGACAAGACACAAGACTTCCCTCTCACACAGTATTTGCGCATGTTCACAGGTTCGCTTTACGCTGTTACAGCGTGGTAGCAACAGGACCAATGCAGCAGGGAAGTTTAGCCTTGTGCTTCAACGCTCTAAATTGAGGAAATTCACCCACTATGTTTACTTTGTGCATCTACGTCATATCGCTGAGTCTACCTTTAAGTATGTACATCATCCATATCACCTAATGGACCAACATCAAACTAATTTCTCACCTTGACCTTCTTGTTGGTGATCGGTTTGCTGCTCTCTGACTTTCTAGCAGACTTCTCCTTCTGGTCTGCAGAGAGCAGCTGGTGCAGCTGTGGGGCAAGCCGAGAGTCTACCTCACCCATCTCATTTATCAGCTGCAGGGACAGTCAGAACACTATTATTATAGGACACGATCTGAATCATACCAACTACACATGGTATACCTACAATTGTATCAATCACAAACGACAATGCATCTACTCACATTTCTGTAAGTCAGCAGTCTTTCAATCACTGGGTGGTTGTGTGCGGGAATACGCTTTGCTTTCAGGACCAAGTAGAAACTGATGTTTGTGCAGTAACTAAGGACAGAAATAACAATAAGCGAGTTGATTCTCATTGGCATTGTTTATGCAATTTATGTTACAAATAACATTCACACTTACTTTAGATAAAGCTGCTGTTTGGTCTTGAGGTAGTTGGCACCCTTTCCCGGTGGGATCCGTCCATCTTTGACCATCTCCAAAAGGGGCTGTAGCTCGTCCTTCAGCTCTGCCAACTGCACACAACACCATTGGCAAACAGTACGGCATTACCACTCAACACCACCAGTAGTAACTAACACCAACATACTGCAACTCGTTACAGGTTCAACAAAATGAAGTGTGGATTATACTGTATGTTTCTTATTCTGCTGTACATACAGTAGTGGTTAGGTTGTGGTTATCATACCTTTGCCTTAAAGTCCCGAATGAGCTCCAGTAGCTCTGGTGACTCTTTCTTCAGCAGCTTCATCTTCTCCTTCTGGGACATCTGCTTCAGGTCCTTCACAATCCTCTCCTTCTCCACACCCTTCTCTACCCCCTGCTCCTCTACAGCGAACTCCTACACATACACACACACACAATGAGGACAACAGGAAAATGTGTTTCTTTACTTTGATAGAGCTGAAGGCTCAAGCATGTATACTTTGTTGCTGATAATGTATACCTGAAGGAGGTTAAGATCATAGTCCTCCTCGCTAAGATTGGCAGCCAATCGTCTCTGAATATTCTTAGCTTCTTCCTCTTCCTCTTCATCCTCTGCCTCTACGTCTTGCTGAGATTTTCCCTCTGCAACAACAAAAAGTGAGTAGTTTCAAGGAAACAGCCTATGTCAAACAAACATAACTACATCAACCAGATTGAAATATTCAGGAATGATAGAAGAATGAATTAATACAATTTGAAATACTCACTGGCAGCCACATAGTCAGAGTCATAGAACATCTTCTTCCTGTTTCCCCATGCCATATCATTGGGGAGATCTAGGAGCAGACAACCACATTTAATATGTTAATTCAGCAAAATACACATGCACATAAAAACCAGGTCAATAGTTGAGTGGGTACAAAAACTGCTATAGTAGGTTGACATTGGGCTGTATAATTACCATCATCCTTCTTCCCTTCCAGATCACTGTCCATATCAGCCTCCTCTTCTTCCTCCTCCTCCTCTTCATCATCCTCTGAGTCAGAGAGGTCCAGAGCCATCACTTCCTCCTGCAAACAACATGATAATCATCAGCTCAATGTGATGTCTGCATGGATAAGTCATTCAAGTTCTGCTCTATAAGATACTGTTTACTTGCAGTTGTTGGCCTTTAACTCACCTCTTCATCACCATCTTCCTGGTCACTGTCCATCTGAACACCACGTGCCAGGAGGTTCTAGTGGCAAAAATATACAACATTAAGACTGAGTAGGGTTCAAAGATTTCAGGAAAGAACTTGAACTACAGAAATATAGATGGAGACTCACCGAGATTTTGTCGTCGTGGAACTCATCGACCTTATCCTTCGTATACTGTGAGGATCTCTGTTAAAAATATTTGAAGTTTTAAGGAGATTGAATGGTAACTTAAAATTGATCTAAAGCAACAATGACAACTCTTGGTCAAGTAAAGGACAAACTCCATAAGCTTTGTTGACAATCAACATTGTGCAGATGTTGATATCATATGAAGTTAATCATACTTCTGTTCACACAGGCTTCTCCATAACATATATACCTAATATACTGTACCTTATCTGGGACAGGCATGTCCTTATATGCTTCAGGGTCATCTTTGTCAAACTGTTCCGTCTTCTTCACCTTAGGGGCTCGTTTGGTTCTGAGTGGAGCGAGGGGCAAAAGTTGTCACATCCAAGCCAGGGCCCAGTTTTTCAAAAGTTATCTATCTGGATTTCACCTCCCGGATAGGATTAAATGCATAGAAATTGGATGAATTGAACGGACAAATCATTGACTTTAATGGGGACTCCCGTTCTATTCATATGCATTTAATCGTATCTGCTAGGCGGCATCTTGATAAATAACTTTTGAAAAACGGGGCCCTGGACGTCATAAATACTACATTCTTGCCATCTCATATGACAATTCAGAGGTTAGATGTCTAGCATCTTGAACTAAAGTTGACTGTTTATACAAAGAAATCTAGCTAACGTACCTTAGCGCTCGAACCATGTTGAGAAGATCAGTGGAGTAACGTTAGCTTGCTAGCTATCTTACTAGTGGGATAACTTTTTCAGTTGCTAGAAAGGTGATCTTCCAAATATAAATATGACAAGCATAATATATCAATACATAATTAAAGTCCTCGGGGTGGTAATAATGCTGTCTCTATTCCCGTGACTCAATAAACTTGAAATTGACAAACAATTGTTGGCAACTACCAGCAGCGTCACATTTTCTATTTTCTTTCCACGTGCTTCCGGGTTGTTCTACGCCAGTTGGCTTCTTCGTCTTCTTCTTCGGTGGGGTTTATCGGCAGTTGGCATCCAACGTTATAGTGCATTACCGCCACCTACTGTACTGGAGTGTGGGCCAGAGACGGGGAGAAACTAAATCCTAACTGTCAGCCCCGTTGCTCTTAAAAAATATAACAAAATATTTTAGACTATATCTAATGAAGTTCTCATCCTCTCTATTTCCCTCTGATACTGCCCACACTGTAGCAATACATGCTCCACAGTCTCTGTTTCCTGGCAATAATCACACTTTCCTGTTGGATGTTTTCCTATCACATTTAAAGTCTTATTCAACCGGCTGTGTCCCACCCTTAATCTTGTAAAAATAGCCTTCTCTCTTCTGTCCCTTCCGGCCGTCCTCCCCTCCCCGACTTTCCTCTGTACTTGAAATAAATGCCTTCCCTTATTATCTCTATTCCACTGCTCCTGCCATCTCTGCACCATCACTGTCCATATCAGGCTTTTTGCCTCTGCCTTGCTCATTAAAACTACAACATCAACATCCCCACTACTAAGTGCTTGTTTAGCCAGTACATCAGCTGCCTCATTCCCCTCCACCCCCACATGGGCTGGGACCCAAGTAAAGCTTGTCTCTATACGCATCTGTCTAACCCTACCATGGGTTTGTAGTACCTCATACAGCAGGTCTTGTCTGCTACGTGAGCTAAAGGACTGCAGACTCATCAACACTGCACATGAATCAGAGAAAATAACTACTCTGTCTGGCTTGACTTCCTCCACCCACTGCAAGGCCAACAGTATGGCCATCAGCTCCGCCGTATATACAGCCAGATTATCTGTAATACGTTTCCTGACTGCCACCCCACATTCCTGCACTACAAATGCTGACCCTGTATGTCGTGTCCTTGGATCTTTTGAACCATCTGTGTAAATGACCACAAAATCCTGATACACAGTATCCAGACGACTCTTAAACAAATCAGATGGATCAACACCCTCCCTATCTTTCTGTAGTCTCTCCAACACTTCTAGATCAACTACTGGAGGCGGGAGTAGCCATGGTGGATTTACAGGATTAGTTACCGTTGGACTAAACTCCCTTCCATACAGTCCCATCTCCTTCGCCTGGGTATTACCCACCCACCCAAAGCTTGTGTTCTGTCTTCGCTCATGTTCCCAGCATGCCTGTAAAATCCCTTTCGCAGGATGAGACACCCCATGTCCCTATAGGTTGACCCAATAATTCATTGCCAGCTGCTGTCTCCTAATCTTCAATGGCATATCCCCCATCTCCACCTGTAGTGCAGCCACTGGGGAGGTCCGAAATGCCCCACTACATATTCTGAGTCCTTGCCCCTGTATGACATCTAGCTTTCCACTGAGGTCCGGGCTGCCGAACAATACGCTATACAGCCATAGTCTATTATGGATCGGATCAATGCAACATACATGGTCCTCAATGAGGAACGCCCAGCCTCCCACTCCTTCCCCGTCAGACAGCGCATCACATTTAGCACCTTCTTACACTTTCCCACCACTCTTTCAATGTGTTCTGCCCAGGTCCGTCTAGTATCAAAGTATACCCCAAGGAACCTGAAGGACCCCAGCCTCTCCAAGTTTCTTCCATATAACCTCAAGCACACCATACTCATAATACTACCGCCATCTAGTGACTGAACCAGAATATGACTATTTGGCTGAAAGGGAAAGATATACTGTGGAAAATATGAATTTTCTCCAATCCTCTGATCCTATACATTTTAGTGTTCCTTGGACTATAAAATATGGTGTATTTGCGAGGACAGAGACACAGTTAATCATGATAGTAAACAAAATGTCATAAGATTGAAAGTTATCTTAGACAGATGAAACTGTGTGAATTAACATTTATTATCTATATTTATTATATTTATTAATGAAATACAGTCCTAATCCAATATTCCATAAGAAACAAATTAATATGTCAAGAAATCTACTATTCTAGTCCAAGACCTGTACTTAAACATTTGTGTGGGGCCTGAAACCATGAATACTGTAGTTATTTAGATTTGTTCTACTGAGCATTTTACCATCTTGTAGGACTTACAATGTCGGTATTATGAGAGATGATCAACTGAGTTTATTGATCCAGCTCAATACATTTCAAACGTAAGGACCTCCATAAATGCCTTTACCTGCTGTCATTAACAGATGGCTTCCCTGCTTCATCTTCTAGGTAAATACAGTAACCATTTTCACTGAAGTTGCACATCAAATTTGTCAGTGTGATTCAACATTAGGCTCTGCTCTCAATGCAGCTACCATTGTCTGTCCCATTCGCATAGTAACATTTCCCTGCTCTCTTCCAACCTCTTCACTCAATCACTTTCTCTCCTCCTTCCCTAGATCCCCGTCACTCTGAGGCCTTCTCCAATCCCTCTGGAGTCCAAAGCTGCCACTGCGAGGCCTGGTGGTAGGAGGCAGAAAGGTTTTGGGAGGCCTAAGGATCCCAGTTTTAAACTCATCATTCCTCTTCCTCATCAGGGTGAGGGCTGGGGTCATTCGAATAGGGTCAAAGTACTGTCAGGAAAAGAGTAAACCAGAGAATGTCTCAGTAGATGGACTCTATATTTATCTTGCTCACACACAGGGAAAGGAACACACACACACACACACACACAAATCATAAATCCTTAAATCCTTACACTTACACTGGCTTGTGGCACTGATGGTCCCCTCTCTTTAAAGCCTGGGTCTGTATGCATCACACTCAGGTCCATCATGGAACTGCTGAGATCTGACACGGTGGTCATAGCACCCCTCCTTAGCTGGGCTGAAGAGCTCTGACGAGGCTGGAGCCTCCTCATGATGTCACTCAAAGAGGTGAAGCTTTCACTTTGAGGCACCTTCAGTATCAGAGGTCTCTGCATGAGAGAAAGGCAAACCTTCACTGTCCATACTCTGTCCTTGAACAGTATCGGATTTTATTTTACTCCAAATGATACAGAATCGTCATTCCATACAGGATGAATCAGTAGCAGTGGAACTGTGTGTATATTTATAAACCAGAGACTCACCCTAAAAGTAGAGGGGCTATCAGCACCAGACTTGACTCCAGATTTGGTTGCCTCTGAGCCTAACTCCACTGCCATAACATCTTCCCTTCTAGTTGGACGATATTTTCTCTCTCTGGAGGGAAAGGCCACAACTTCTTCTCGTGGGCCTGTCTCCATTTTGTTTTCACTGGGCCCCACAGACTCTTTCTCATAAACTTCATAGCTCCTCTGTTTGGAGAGGTGTCTGACATATGTTTTGGGTTGGACCCTTAAAGAGAAAAATGGCATTGTAGCACTATTTACTGACCAAGTATGGTTTACTATGGTAATGTACCCATTTCATTAATTGGAGTTCTGAAAGTTAATTCACAATCACAATTATAGTCACAATTATCACAGCGTTACACACCTGTGTTGGGTTTCTGTTTCAGTGGACGGCTGGTTATCTGTCTGATAGGGTAAAGCTCTGCTGCAAAATAATCTGAAAAAGACAGGTGTTATAACATTACTATTCATGTATTGTGGAAAGTTATTCTCATGTAAACTCATTATCTTCTTAAGGATGCCATAACATTGCAAACTGAGCACATATGAGTCTCATATTTCCAGAGTGGACTGACTTAATAGTCGTTTGATTATCCAGCTGAATTTTTGTCACCAAACTGGTATTGTTGGCCCATATTCTGTAACATAAAAAGAACAAACAGACCTCAGCACCGATTATACAGAAACTGCTACTGTCCCCACAAGATAAAAGTATTCAAAATATACAGAGAGAAAATAGGGGGTATACAGAAGATAGCCCTATTTGGTAAAAGACCAAGTCCATATTATGGCAAGATCAGCTCAAATAAGCAAAGAGAAACGACAGTCCATCATTACTTTAAGAAATGAAGGTCAGTCAATACGGAACGTTTCAAGAACTTTGAAAGTTTCTTCAAGTGCAGTCGCAAAAACCATCAAGCGCTATGATAAAACTGTCTCTCATGAGGACCGCCACAGGAATGGAAGACCCAGAGTTACCTCTGCTGCAGAGGATAAGTTCATTAGAGTTACTAGCCTCAGAAATTGCAGCCCAAATAAATGCTTCACAGAGTTCAAGTCACAGACACATCTCAACATCAACTGTTCAGAAGGGACTGTGTGATTTTTTAAAAATTTATTTCACCTTTATTTAACCAGGTAAGCCAGTTGAGAACAAGTTCTCATTTATAACTGCGACCTGGCCAAGATAAAGCAAAGCAGTGCGATAAAAACAACAACAACACAGTGTTACATATGGAATAAACAAAACGTACAGTCAATATCACAATAGAAAAT